TCAAGAGCTTGCTCTATGCGCTTTACAACTATTATTACCCCAGCAGACCCTCATAGAACACTCAGAAACATACTCGTCTTCCGCGGAAGCATACAGTGCAAGCTGCGGATTTCATACGCTCAAACACTATCAAACTGACAAGATCGTTCACTGTCTATAGCCAGATATAGATACGCCCTCCCTTTCAGTTGCTTCTTTTTCTCCATTTTCTTCCTCCTTTTCAGCTTCTTCTTTCCGTTCTTCTGCTTACTTCTTCCTCTTCCTCTTCCTCTTCCTCTTCCTCTTCTTCTTCTTCTTCTTCTTCTTCTTCTTCTTCTTCTTCTTCTTCTTCTTTAAACTCCAGTTCCCATGCATAAGCCTACCAGTAACACTTTCATGTCTTCCAAATCTTGGTAAGCTGCATCTGTCCTTCTGTGCTCCAACGATGCTCTTTCTTTTCTCACTTCACTCTTTGTACTGGGATAGCTACTCCTTGGAATATCACAGAGCCAGTCCCTTATCTCATTAAAGTATACATCTGCATCTGCAAAAAAAACCAAAGGTTTCTTAGAGCATGAGATGTATAAAGTAAAGGTTACATTTGTAACAAAAGTAGTAAGCCTACATGAAATAAAATGAATAAATAGTAAACATAGATTCTGAAAACCATTGAAACTGATAGAGTTCAATAAATATTTCTTAGAAAAAAAATCGCAAACATGCAAAATTAAACCCCCAAAAAAATTCAATACAATACCCAGATAGTTTCCCAAGTTAGGAATTAAGTCATAAATGATTTTAAAAGCACACGTCACTCCATCCTATAAAAATATTAAGATATGAAAAAAGCACAATTGGTCAAAATGGCCGTGCAAGTGAAACTAAATGATTCAATACAATAAATAAACACCAAGCTTATGCTCAAACATAGTGTTGAACTAGAAAATAAATGGTATACAAATTGATAAGTCAGATAATTTTTGCAACAATAATTACCTGGAGAGTCCCTTGAGCAAAGAAATTCATGCCAAGTGTCTAGGGAAAACTGGTCTGCATGATACTCTTGAAACAGCAGCAAAGCATCTTTCAGTGCTATGAGACCGCTTCCACTGTAGTCCAAAGCTTGAAAATCCCAGTATGCTTCTGAATCCAATGTTTTCCGTCGTTCGATCTGATTTGAAAAGAAGAGGAAACTTATAATCCCCTCAGTTTCAGCGTTTTCGGGTTTGTTTACTTAAAGTTTCAGTATGCATACCATTCTCCTAATTGATAAACTAATTGTAGCCTAAGGATTTAAAAAAAAACCCTAAAAAACTAATCCTACTGTATATCAATGTTGATAAACTAAAAGTTAAGACAATGAAAGTGAATGGTTAAGTGTTCCACAGTACTATATATTTTTTTCAAACATCATACAACTCTTGAAATAAAAGGTTCTGGCAAAACTTTGAAGTTTCTAGCCTGCAAAGACTCTTGATTTAAAAAAAAAAGCAGATGACAAATTATTTCTGTAGACAGTTTTTGAGACAAAATAAAAAGACTTAGATCTATATATTATTAACACTAATTTGTAATAAGGTCAACAACTCTTCTTAAAATATTAGTGTCAAAAGTCTATTCCAGCTTAACAGATTTTAATTATTACTCGACATAGCCCTGAGAAGGTGAACAAATAGGCTTTCTATTTACAGGCAATCTTACATGAAAAATGTTGAGTACATGAGTGACATATATGAGACCTGAAAGCCTTTGGCGGGTTTCATCTCTTGAGACATCATGGTAATTTTAAGCACCATAATTTATCCCTGTAGGCCCTAAATGTATTACTATAGGCCTACTTTTAATCTAATCTTCAATAGACATGCACTCTGACACTCACTGCTAGCAGACAGAGGTCTCCAAAGCTAGATAATATATTATTTATAACATATTTTAGTCATTTCTAAACTACTATATATAGATCTATATATCTTTACAGTTTACCGTGTTAAGCATACGACTAATTGATCTTATCATAACTGGAGAAATATTTATTTAGAGACACATCTGCATATTCAGTGCAAAATGGATTTTTAAAAAAGGAAAAGAAAAAGGTGGTCTAAACTGAGTAAAATTTTCCGTGAACAGCAAAACTGAAAACAAATTATAGAGGCCTACCTCCTCCAGAACGAGGTAGAACCGTTCCTTTGGAATTGTTTCTGACCCTGGTCCACATATCTTTTCAACTGACAAATAAACATGCTTGTCATCAGCAATGTCCTCAAAAATACTTTCCAAGAAATATTTGACTTGATCTATTGTGACGTAGCCTTTACGGGAACTGTCCAACTCATCAAATACTGTTTCAAAATCCAAGATCCCCATGATTTTGGCTGTTTTCTGAGAGATCTTACATCAATTCTACAATAATCTAAGCGCACAAACTGATGCCATTATCGCATCCGTGTACAAAATGAAAAGCGAAATTAACTTTAGCTCCAAAAAATTTAGATTCTTGAGCTATTGAGAAAAGGCAATTCTCAACAAAGTCAAGATTTTCTTTTTTTGACAACATTCCGCCATATTGTTTACAACCATCGCTGTGCAAATTCTATGACGTAGACCGCAAGTATTGTGTCCGGGTCCGGACGTACTAAATGAGTCAAAATATTATGGTCCATTGATGCTCTTCCAACCAATACACATCGTGCCTGTTGCCTCAATGATAAAAATAGTCATTTAATTTATCTTTTACAAGTACTTTGATTCATTTTGACATCGGTTACTCAAACTGCTGTCACGAAGCCTCCGCTTGGTTTTCCATAACCACACGAAAATCTATACGTTTCTTGGATACTCTCTTGGTTTGTAAGTGAATGAATGGATAAATGAATGAATATATTATGCGTTTGCGTGTATTGCTCGCGCACGTGTGTATGTGTGTGTGTGTGTGTGTGTGTATGTGTATGTGTGTGTGTGAGTGTG